TTGAGGGCCATGGTTGAGAGACCACAGAAGCTGGTCAAAGGGCTTCCACCTGGACAGTTTGAACATTGGAAAAAGAATGCAACTGATTGTAACACATTAACTAAGTAAAAATCCATGAGTGTAGAGTGATACCAAGATACAAGGAGAATGAAGACAGAAGGCCAGCTAAGAAATAGAAAAGTAATGACAATTATCAAAATTATTGTTATGTAACCCCCAGTGTAAGTCTTAAATGTAAACTTTTTCACAGTAAAAGGATGGGAGAAAACAACTATATTAAGAGAAAAAAAAGGCAGTGTTTTTGGTTCCTGTGAAGCTTAAGTGTTTCATTATTTGATGGAAATCTCAGTCATGTTTTTGTAACCAAATCTGCTGGTACCACTTGAATTCTCAAGACTAGTCTTTTGATACTATGAATATTACAGGGTTATTTTTTTATTATTATTTTTTCAGTTGCAAGATTTAATAGAGTGAAAACAGAGCTCCCATACAAAGGGAGGTACAGGGTTATTATATAAAGTAAGTAATTATTTCCAAGGAAAGCATGTTATTTCAGTGGTTTTCCTAGATTGAGATTCACTTTCTTTTTCTGAGCCCCCATCATGGGCCGGACACTGTGCTAGCCATTTCTACATGTATTACCTCACTTCTTTCTTAGCATAACGCTGAGAATTAGGTCAGATGAGGTGACTGAAGCTCAGAGAGGTCAGATACTGTGTCCAATGGCAAGCATCAGTAAGTGTGAAAATGAGGGTTCAAGACCAAGTCTTCTGGGCCCCAAGTCCTTTCCCTTCTCATAGCTCTTGTTCTGTCCCATGGATTAGCTCAGCAAGTAGCTTGTTGAAAACAAGGGGCTTGTTTTCAGGGTCTGTGAGAGAGGAAGGCATGAAAATACAAAGGTGGAACCAAGGAAGACCAGAGAGAGAGAAGAGCTACTTAGATGTCTCACAATAGTGTACATTTTAATTAAATTACATGCTTGGAGGAAATGTTCCTGAGTAGGTAAAAGCTGATATTTTGTTCTATTGGAAAAAAAAGTGAGCTAGAAGAAAACATAATTTGCTTCTTTTTTTCTCTCATATCAGAGGGAAGAGAGAAGACATTTATAGTTTCTAAAATACCCTTAGTAGTATAATTCTGTCATACTTAATATGTAAATGACTAGATCAAGGAGGAAGAGGGACATGACTGCTTTTGGTACAAGGCAGAGGTCACACTAGCTTCTCCTGGAAAACTGACCTGGGCTCCAATTGTACTCATGGTAGAAAATCTCAGGAGGCCACTGCAGTCAGCAGTGTTAACACTCAGGAGGCCACTGCAGTCAGCGGTGTTAACACTTTTAGCCTCGTTTAATTTTTTAAAAACAAAACACCTAGGAATCAATTAACCAAAGTGCAATATATGTACAAGGAAAACTATCAAACACTGATGAAAGAACTTGAAGAGGACACAAAAAAATGAAAGGGTATTCCATACTTATGGTTTGGAAGAATTAGTATTGTTAAAGTGCCAATACTACCCAAAGCAATTTACAGATTCAATGCAATCCTCTTAAAATATCAATGACATTCTTCACAGAAATACAAAAAAAAAAAAAAATTCGTAAAATTTATATGGAACCACAAAAGACTCTGAGTAGCCAAAGCAATCCTGAGCAAGAAGAACAAGATGAAGTATCACACTACCTGACTTCAAAATATACTACAGAGTAACCACATCAGCAGGATACTCACATCAAAACAGACACATAGACCAGTGGAGCAGATTAGAAGATCGAGATATAAATCTATGCATTTGCAGCCAAAAAAGGTGCCAAGAACATACAATGGAGAAAGAATGGTCCCCTCAAAAAAAATTGTGCTGGGGCCAGGTGCTGTGGCTCATGCCTATCATTCTAACCCTTTGGGAGGCTGAGGCAAGAGGATCACTTGAGGCTAGGAGTTTGAGACCAGCCTGGGCAACATGGCAAGACTCTATCTCTCCAAAAAAAAAATTAGCCAAGTGTGGTGGCTTGTGCCTGTAGTCCCAGCTACTAGGGAGGCTGAGGTGGGAGGATCACTTGAGCCCAGGAGTTCAAGTCTGCAGTGAACTGTGATCATGCCACTGGACTCCAGCCTGGGCAATACAGTGAGACCCTGTCTCAAAAAAAATTGTGCTGGTAAACCTGGTTAACCATATACAGAAAAGTGAAAGACCCATATTTCTTACTATATATAAAAATCAAATCGAAATGGATTAAAGACTTAAGTCTAAGACCTGAAACTATGAAACTACTAGCAGAAAATGTTGGAGAAATGCTCCAGGACATTGGTCTGGGCAAATATTTTTTGTGCGTAAGACCTCAAAAGCACAGACAGCCAAAGGAAAAATAGACAAATGGGATTACGTCAAACTAAAAAGCTCCTGTTGCACAGCAAAAGAAACAGTCAACAAAGAGATAACCCACAGAATGGGAGAAAATACTTGCAATACTTGCAGATTAATCCATCTGACAAGGGATTTAGTCACCAGAATTTGTAAGGAGCTCAAACAACTCAATAGCAAAAACCCAAATAATCCAATTTAAAAGTGGGCGAAAGATCTGAATAGACATTTCTCAAAAGAAGACATACAGATCGCCAACAGGCATATGAAAATATGCTCAACATCATTGATCATCAGAGAAATGCAAATCAAAACCACAATGAGATATTTCACCCAAGTTAGAATGGCTTTTATCAAAAAGACAGGAATAACAGAGGCTGGCTGCTGGGCACGGTGGCTCATACCTGTAATCCTGGTACTTTGGGAGGCAGAGGCAGGTGGATCATCTAAGGTCAGGAGTTCAAGACCAGCCTGGCCAACATGGTGAAACCCCCGTCTCTACTAAAAATACAAAAATTAGCTGGGCATGGTGGCAGGTGCCTGTAATCCCAGGTACTCAGGAGGCTGAGGCAGGAGAATCGCTCAAACCCACGGGGCCGAGGTTGCAGTGAGCCAAGATTGCACCACTTCACTCCAGCCTGCGCGAAAGAGCAAAACTCTGTCTCAAAAACAACAACATCCAGCCTGGGCAACAGAGCGAGACTCCATCTCAAAAAAACAAAAACAAAACCACCAAACAAAACAGAGGCTGGCCAGGATGTGGAGAAAGGGGAACCCTGGTATACTGTTGGTGGGAATGTAAATTAGTACAGTCACGATGGAAAACAGTATGGAGGTTCTTCAAAAATAAAATAAAATAAAACTACCCACTTTGGGAGGCTGAGACGGGCGGATCACGAGGTCAGGAGATCGAGACCATCCTGGCTAATACGGTGAAACCCTGTCTCTACTAAAAAATACAAAAAAACTAGCCGGGTGAGGTGGCGTGCACCTGTAGTCCCAGCTACTCGGGAGGCTGAGGCAGGAGAATGGCGTAAACCTGGGAGTCGGAGCTTGCAGTGAGCTGAGATCCGGCCACTGCACTCCAGCCCGGGCGACAGAGCGAGACTCCGTCTCAAAAAAATAAATAAAATAAATAAATAAATAAATAAAACTACCATATGATCCACTACTGGATATATATTCAAAAGAAAGGAAATCAGTATATCAAAGAGATATCTGTACTTCCATGCTTATTGCAGCACTATTCACAATGGCCAAATATGGAATCAGCTGAAGTGTCCATCAGTGCAGATGTGAGCCACCATGCCTGGCCCTCTTTGTTGTATACTTTCATCTTTATTGACTAGTTCCCTCTTTTAAGTTTCCAATGAATAGAAAACAAATTGATAATGGATAAAGAAAATTTTATGTTTGTGTGTGTGTGTGTATATATATATATAATATATATACAATTTTTTGTATGTGTATATATATTATATACACCTACACACACACTGACATATTATTCAGCCATAAAAAGAATGAAATCCTGTCATTTGCAGCAGCATGGATGGAACTAGAAGACATGTAAGTGAAATAAGCTAAGAACAAAAAGACAAGGATTGCATGTTCTCACTTACATATGGAAGCTAAAATAGTGGATCTCATGAAGCTGGAGAGTAGGTTGGTGGTTATCAGAGGCTGGGAAGGGTAGGAGGGAGAGGGGGATACAAAGAGGTTGATTAATGGGTACAAATATACACTTAGAAGAAATAAGACTTGGTGTTCAGTAGATCGGGAGGGTGTCTGTAGTTGACACTAATCTCTCGTATGTTTCAAAATAGCTAGAAGAGAATAATTCAGCCTAAAGAAAAGAGAGATATTTAAGATAATTACCTGGACTGGTTGCTGTGGTCCATGCCTATATTCCCAGCATGTTGGGAGGCTGAGACAGGAGGATCGCTTGAGCCCAGGAGTTCGAGACCAGCTTGGCCAACATGGTGAAACATGGTCTCTACTAAGAATACGAAAACTAGCCAGGCGTGGTGGCGTGTGCATGTAATCCCAGCTATGCAGGAGGCTGAGGCAGGAGAATCACTTAAACCTGGGAGGTGGAGGTTGCAGTAAGCCAAGATTGCGCCACTGCACTCCAGCTTGGGTGACAAAGTGAGACTTTCTCTGGATGTGATTGTATGAATGTATCAAATTATCACACGTACTCCCAAAATGTGTTCCCTAATAGGTATCAATTAAAAAATAAAATTAAAAATGTATTTTTACATATGTATGAATTCTGTGTGTGCTCAGGAGCTAACTGGCTGATTTGATAGAAAACATACTGCTCTATTTCTTTACACTTGGGTAGCCATTTTCTCAAAGGTGTTCTATGGAAGTTCTGGCTGCAAACTTGGTCTCATTCAAGAGCCAACTGCCAATGAAGCCCTGCTAGGGCATTCTGCTTGTTTCCAGTGTCTTTTGATCACTTACTTCCCGAGGTTGATGTTTTGAAAGTGGATGTTAGAACCAAATTTCAGAGTTTCTGAACTTTGTCTTCATTCTGATTTAAAAGAAGTGAATTCTCTTGCTTTTCACCCATGTGGTTTTTTAAATCTTAGGAACAATCATTCTGAAAGTGGTTTCCTTTTTCCCTGCAGACAAGGCGCCTCTGTCGAAGAGCCTTCTGCTGGTCCCCAGTGCCCTCTCCCTCCTGCTAGCCCTCCTCCTGCCTCACTGCCAGAAGCTGTTTGTGTATGATCTCCACGCAGTCAAGAACGACTTCCAGGTGAGCTCTGCCTCATTGGCCCCTTGGAGGAGAGAGGACAGTTTTTTTTTCTAGATTTGTTTTTTCTTCCTAGATTTGCTTTTCTTCCTGCTATTAGTTCCTCAAAGCCCCCAATTTGTAAGAAATATTTATTATTAATATTTCATTAAGTAACTTCTAGTTGTATTTATTGATTTTTCAGCAAAGCAGATAATAATGAAGCAATGGCAGTATTTCCTTTTATTAGGCACATTTGTTTTCAGTTTCACTTTTTACTCAGAGAAGTGCAACTTATAACTTCAAGGGAATTAAAAACAATGTTAAATCTTTTTTTTAATGCCCAGTATGCATACTTAGCTTTGCCAAAACCTTGTCTCAGTTTGAATATTTGATTAGGGGAGCTAGGCTCTGTCAGCTGTATCAGATTGTGAATTTATGATAACTTTTACAGTGGTGGTTAAATGAAGTAAGAGATTTCTCTTGAGTTTCTGCTGTGGGAAAGAGCAGAAGTGCTTTTCAAGGTTTCTGGACTGATCTTGTTGAAAACGCTGGTGCTGGCTTCTTGTCTATGAATTGGAGTGTTAGTGCACATTCTGGTGTATAACTGCCACACTTTCTTTGCTAAACACTTGGTTAGCCCATTTAAAGCATAATAATCCATTTCTTGAACACTGACACCTTTTCTTCATAGTCATGTAATTAATACCATTGCTCAGATTGGCTTCACCAACTTCCCGTGCAGGTCTTTCAGTTATTTATCTGTATTACTCATTTGTCAGAAGATAGTATAGCTTCTGTATTATTTCAGTTGCTATAAGTCGTTCTCAACCCTGGACACACATTAGAATCACCTGGAAAAACTTGAGAGCTCTGTCTGCATATCTATTCTTATGTGAAGGTATAATTTATACCTAGATTTACATAAACCCACTATCTCACCCCAGAACAACTGAGTCACAGAGTCTGGTGGTGGTACCTGGGCATTGCTGTACATTTAAAAACAACCCCCTGGGGATTCTAGTGTATGGCTGGCTTTGAGGACCACTGATGTAAGGGCCCCCGGGCCTTGGGTTGATACCTTCCTAATTTCTGGAGTTAATTTGGTTCGTTTGGCTAAGCCCACTCTGTGGACATCTGTGCTTTGAAGGTGGTGACCTGCTTGGATGGAAGAGGACCACCCTTCTGTCCAGGAATGGGAATAGCCACATCCACATTAACACTGTTAAAACACCTAAGAGGCTGTCGGTGTGTATTCATGAGAGATATGGGAGTTTCAGTTCTGCCTTGGGAAATCTAAACACACACATACACATAAGAACGTGATTCTGTAGGTCACAGGTGTACATGACATCCTTGGGGGGTGATAAAGGAAGTAGGGACCAGTATTGGGGGAATACCTCCAGAGAGTCTTAGGGATGTGAGCTTTCACTTTGGTCTGAAAGAAGGGATAAATGTTAATTAGCAATGAAGAGAAGGAAGGGCATTTTACTTCAGGAAGTAACATGAATTTCAGACCTTTAGGAGTGTGGTATAGGAAGCATACTTTGAGGCAAACCCAGGCTTTGAGGCAAACCCAGAGTTAGATTGGAGAAGTCCAGGAGGTCTCAGATAATGAAGGGCTTTATTTTGTAAGTTCTGAACCTCCAGATTTTGGCAATTAATGCAGAGGTACAGTCAGGTTTCTTTAGGTTGAGTTGCAGAAGCAGTGCTTTGCTGAGTGCAAGCCTGTAGCCAGTTACCAGTCTTTAGGGGACATTCACCTGTATAATAATATGCAGTGGTTTATTCTTATACCAGCTCTCATAGTTTTGTGTCCTTGAGCATCACTGCAACACATAAATTGTTTAAAACTGTAGCTAGCAGCTTTATTTTCATTAACTGAAGAAAAATGGGGTTCTGGAAATGCAGTTTGTTGTATCTTAGTAATTACAAAGTTTCAATTTCCTTAATCCCCAGATTTTCTTAGTAGCTCTCAGAGCTTATGCCTGAGTAGAGTATTTTCATTGTAATATTAAATGTGGTGATAGAGGACTTGGAGCTGCCTCTTACGGTTTTTGAATCTGGTGTTCTGCGGAGATGACAGTCATCATCATCTGCCATTGGTAAAGTACTTGACAGTTTCCTTTGTGCTCTCATGTATACTGCCTCATTGATCATATTGATAGAGGTATATGCTGCCTAAAGTTTCAGTGTGACTCTGGTACTGAGCCCAGCTATGGCCTCAACACAGCCTTGTAGGCAGCCATCCCCAGGTCAGCGGGGCTGGCAGGTAAGATGAACTCTGGTGGCCAGTACAGTCACGACAAAGACTCTTCCTGGTGTCTTGCTTGGAGTAGAGACATATGTGAAATGTTTTGACAGTTGATATGGTCAGACTTCTCATTTGTATTTTATTTCTGTTGGCAAGAGCACAGGTTGTATGACTTTAGACAGATAGTGTCTCTGTGCCTCTTTTTCCTTAAGACAGTTGGCTGGGTGTGGTGGTTCACACCTGTAATCTCAGCACCTTGGGAGGCCAAGGCTTGCGGATGGATTGCTTGAGCCCAGGAGTTCAAGACCAGCCTGGGCAACATGGCAAAGCACCATCTCTACAAAAAATACAAAAATTAGGCGGGTGTGGTGGTGCACACCTGTAGTCCCAGCTACTCAGGAGGCTAAGGTGCGAGTATTGAATCAGTCCAGAGGGTTGAGCCTGCAGTGAGATGTGATCACGTCAGTGCGCTACAGCCTGGGCAACAGAGTGAGACCCTGTCTCAAAAAAAAAAGAAAAGAGTTAATATTACCGATGTTCACAGCAGCATTATTCACAATAGCAAAAGAATAGAAACCCAAATGCCTATTAACAGATAAATGGACAAACAAAATGCAATGTATACGTACCATAGAATATTATTCAACTATAAATGAGAATGAGATTGATACATGCTTTACCATGAACCTTGAAAATACTATGCAAAGTGAAATGAGCAAATGCAAAAAGACAAATATGTGATCTTATTTACATGAGGTATCTAGTATAAGCAAATTCATAGAGACATTAAGTAGAATAGTGTTTTCTGGGGCTATGGGGAGAGGGAACAGGAAGTTGGCATGGCGTTTCTGTCTAGGATGATGAAGAGTTCTGGAAATAGATAGTGGTGATGATTGTACAGTATTGTGAATTTGCTTAATACCACCGAATTGTATACTCAGTAGTTAAAATTATAACTTTTGTATCTGTTTTACCACAATAAAAATACAAAGAAAAGTTGTCATTAATATTTGTTTTACCTATCTCATAAGGTCATCGTGAAGGGGAAATAAGATTAGGATGTTTTCAAATGTCATTGGGATTATCTTTAAAAATCTGAAAAATGTTTAAGCAGACTCAAAAATAGGCCTTTGAGTAGCTCTTCTTTTTTTTTTTTTGTATGTCCCCTTATATGTTTTTATGCAACCAGAAGTTGGGTGAAACAATGATTTAAATAAACTAATATTTCAAACCTAGTCATATTTAGCAACAGTTGCCATAAGTTACTTTGCATAGTTGCTCTGAAGTAGGTTGATGATTAAAATTAAGCTCAGAAATGTGTATTTTTGAGTTTATACCTAAGTTGTTTTTCAGTTACACCTTTGTCTTATTCAATAGCATAAAAATGAACATTTGTTAGCCTTTCATTCTAGCTTACGTATGTAATTTTTAAAAATGTTACTAAACACAATCCTAAAATTTCTTATAGACAGTTGTCTGTTATCTTAATGAGAATATGTTTTCTTATAAGCACAAAAAAATTCAAGTACCTTTTGTGCCACTGTTGGAAGGAATTTTTACTGTGAGAGACTTGAGCTCAGAGAACATACATGTATAATTTTCCTTTTGTGTGTGTATTATGATTTTGTTTAGACTATTAAAAATAGACAGTGTAAACATAACAAATTTGCTAAGGAAGAGATCCGAACAAATTCTACTCTCGTTTGTTGTTCTTTTTTAAATCCCCATCTAGATTTGGAGGTTGATATGTGGAAGAATAATTTGCCTTGATTTGAAAGATACTTTCTGCAGTAGTCTGCTTATTTATAATTTTAGGATATTTGAAAGAAGATATGGAAGCAGAAAATTTGCAGTAAGTTTTTATGTATTTTGTCTTTGCCACTTAGGCTGTAGAAAAAAATTTTGTTTAAATGGATTTTATTTTGTTAAACTTGGTGTTATTATTTACAGTTATTTTTTAAACTATACTATTCTGTATCTGATTTGAGGCATATGGACATTAACCAAAGAAAATTTTAGAATAGCATAATAATAATAGTGATAATGATAATATATAGTATTAGTTGTGAACAGCTAATACAAATTTTAATACTTTGACTTTAATAAAATTATAATTTATTTTGCTTAGTGGTTTGTGTTTTACTTGTTAAAAATATATCTTCAACATACTTAAAAATTATGGATGTTAATACATTTGAGCAATATGGGTTTACTCTGCCGATTTTCAAAAGTCTGTTTTAATAAAAACAATTATTTTTGAATATATATACACACATAAGTATGTGTGTATACACACACACACACACACACACCAATACATACCTCTGAGCTGATTCTAGCTGAATAAATGTTATTTTATTTTTAGGAGACTCATCTCTATAATTTTTCTGCTGTTTTATCTTGTAGTCCTTTTTGCTGGGTTCCTGGGTTTTGTCAGCCTTATTTGACTTTCTCCTCGTCGAAGCTATGCAGTATTTCTTTGGCATCACTGCAGCTAGTAATTTGCCTTCTGGATTGTAAGTAGCACTTAAAGATTGACTTAATTTAGAACGACTTGAATGTGATTTAAAGTGTTATTATATGTGAAAGTCAGTAAAAGAATATTTTAAACTTTTAGATATAGTAAAATTGATTTTATATGTAAAAAGTCTAATCTATGCCTACGTTTTTATTATGTTCTTGAAATAGAATCAATTTTATATTCTGTCTTTAAAATTTATTTTACTTTTTTTTTTGAGACAGAGTCTTGCTCTGTCACCCAGGCTGGAGTGCATTGGTGTGATCTCGGCTCACTACAGCCTCCACCTCCCGGGTTCAAGTGATTCTCCTGCCTTAGCCTCCCAAGTAGCTGGGACTACAGGTGCGTGCCACCACGCCCAGCTAATTTTTGTAGTTTTAAGTAGAGACAGGGTTTCATCATGTTGGCCAGGCTGGTCTCAAACTCCTGACTTCAGGTGATCTACCCTCCTTGGCCTCCCAGAGTGCTTGAGCCACCATGTGAGCCACTGCGCCCAGCCACATTCATTTTTTAGCTTTCAAATTTTGTGTTTTAGAGAATTTTAAATGAATTTCCTATTCTGATCCTGATAGAATTAGTTTTGTGTGTTTTTATAATGAAATTTGTCTTTGTAATTTTATGAACTAAACACAAAAATATAGTTTAATTAGATTAGGAAACAAAATTAATTTGTATGAAGTTAAGCTTCTGAAGAATAATTTTTAAAAGCTGATAATGTTTTATACATTTCCGTCAAACATAAAACAAAGCCAGTATATGGGTTATAACTTTGTAGACAACCTGCAGTGGCCAACTCACTCAGAATTTGTATGCTTTCATATTGCATTGATCTTCTTTAAAAAAAAAAAAATCATGTATTAGTGTGTGAAATAACTAGAATCTAGGAGCAGAGTTGACAGAGCGAGACTCTATCTCAAACAAACAAACTAAAAGGGCAGGCGCGGTAACAGCCCGTAATTGATGGTAGCAAAGCTTCAAATACGGGCTTGCACCTGTAATCCCAGCACTTTGGGAGGCTGAGGTGGGCGGATCATGAGGTCAGGAGTTCGAGACCAGCCTGGTCAATATGGTGAAACCCCGTCTCTACTAAAAATACAAAAATTAGTCAGGCATGGGGGTGGGCACCTGTAGTCCCAGCTGCTCAGGAGGCTGAGGAAGAATCGCTTGAACCTGGGAGGCAGTTTCAGTGAGCTGAGATCACACCACTGCACTTCAGCCTGGGCGAAAGAGTGAGACTCTGTCTCAAAAAACAAAAAACCCCCCAAAAACCATGTATTAGTGTGTGAAATAATTAGAATCTAGGAGCAGAGTTGTTAGCACATGTAAATGACCTCCAAGCATCTGAATGAAGTATCTGAGACACTATTTGGGAAATGAGATAGTATGAAATGTAGATACCAGATATTTAAAATTCTGTGTGTACTATCTTCAGTCTTCTTTTAATTTTAAATATGTGTTTTGAGAACTATTAAGCTACTGTATGTATCTTGATTCAAATTCACTTTGGATCCCTATTTTAAAATTATAATTAGTGTTCTAATAGCTTTCATACCTGCGTTGTTAATATTTACAGTGTAACTCCCTTTTGTGAATTATAATTGCTGTGAATATCCATGAATGTTGACCTTTAGCTGTTTTAATAATGTATGATTCTGAATAATGTTTGAATGGAGACATAAAGTTCTGTGTCATAATTAGCGTGAAGTTTGAATTCCACAGGTGGTCATTGTAATTAGACTGAGAAGTTAAAGTTGAATATTCTGTTATTGGGGAAAATAGTGTAGACATCAGGAATGATTCCACGTTGACTCAGGGAAGCAGCAGCATTGCTAAATCATAATTTTTCCCCAAAACATCTCCTATCAGGCCAGTTCTTTTTGGTTCCCTGTATAGCCTGCTGAGTGATGGGAGGTATGTGTGTCTGTGTTAGAATGAACTTTGGAGATGGATAGTAACTTAGCATTAATTCTTATTTACACTATCTCCCTGTCTTCTTTTTCCTGCTGCACGTAGAGTTGAATGACAGTAGAACTTTCATATTCATTTATTTAATTATGGAATCTTATTAACTTGTGCATAAAAAGAAGATTGATTCAATTTTGAAGTTGGCGGGAATATTTTTGCTTACTCTCAGAAGAGGGAAGGGATTTACCTACTTAAATCTCAGTTTGTAGCAAGAGTTACAAACTTGAATAAGTTGAAAAGTTATAGCATCCCCTTTGAAAGACACTATAAATGTTAATTCAGCCATCTCCTGAATAAGAATATATTTCTCTTCCTTTTCAAGTCACAAACATTATAGTATATAGTATGACTTTTTTAAATCTTGAGGCTTTCTCAAACATAGACTTTTTGGAACACAATTAGTTCAACAAGTAAACTTTGTATTCTGTAAATATATCTCTTAAAAAACATTTTTATTAGTATTACTTTTTGGTAGATAAAAGGTTTTGTTATGTTGTCTAGGCTGATCTTGAATTCCTGGGCTCAAGTGATCCTCCTTTCTTGGCCTCCCAAAGTGCTGGGATTGCAGGTGTGAGCCACTGTACCCAGCCACAAATATATCTTTTATTGATGATAGCAAAGCTTCAAAAACTAAAGAGAGGAAACTACTGTTTTTTTTTTTTTCTTCAAATCAGTGTACTTCATGGACACAGGGAGGGGAACATCACACACTGGGGGCTGTCTGTGGGTGGGGGGCAAGGAGAGGGAGAGCATTAGGACAAATACCTAATGCATGTGAGGCTTCAAACTTGGATGACGGGTCAATAGGTGCAGCAAACCACCATGGCACATGTATACCTCTGTAACAAACCTGCACATTCTGCACATGTATCCTGGAACTTAAAGTAAAATAAAAATATGTGCTTTACAGCTTTCAGTGTTTTTCCCCTAACATCTAATATTTTTCTTTCCCATCAGTACCAAATTTGTTTGCACTCTTCTACAGTTCTTTACTTCCTATTTAATTCTCTCTTTTTTTTTTCTTCACCTCACCACTACAGGAACTTCTCTTATAAAGGTCACCAGTGGCCACCTAATTTCTAAAGCCACTGGCCATCTTCTTTAACCTTTCAGTAGCACATTAAATGCTTTTAACCTCTCCCTATTTCATGAAACTACCTGCTCTCTTGAGTCCCACACACTACTCCCTGCTAGTTCTTTTTGACCTTAGTTACTGCGTGCAGCTCTTTTCTCAAACTTTTTGGGCTATCTTGTGCACTTTCTTGATTTCAACTACAGTGAACATGTATTGTTTGCTTCCAAGCTCTCTATTTCCAACCCACACTACTCTCTTATTCTGTTGCCCAGGCCTGGAGTACAGTGCTGAGATCATAGCTCACTGTAACCTCAAACTCCTGGGTTCAAGCAATCCTCCTAGCTCAGCCTTCTGAGTAGCTGTGACTATAGGTGTGCCACCATGCCCAGCTAATTTTTTTGTTTTTTTGAGACAGAGTTTCACTCTTGCCGCCCAGGCTGCAGTGCAATGGCACGATCTCTGCTCACTGCAACCTCTGTCTCCCTGGTTCAAGCGATTCTCCTGCCTCAGCCTCCTGAGTGGCTGGGTTTGCCACCATGCCTGGCTAATTTTTTTGTATTTTTAATAGGACAGGGTTTCACCGTATTGGTCAGGCCGGTCATGAACTCCTGACATCAGGTGATCCACCCTGCCTTGGCCTCCCCAAGTGCTGGGATTATAGGCATGAGCCACCATGTCCGGCCATTTTTTTTTGGTTTGTTTGTGTTTTTTTTTTTTTTTGTAGAGATGGGGTCTTGTTATTTTGCCCAGGCTGGTCTCAAACTTCTGGCCTCCAGTGATCCTCCCACCTTGGCCTTCCAAAGTGCTGGGATTATAGGCATGACCACCATGTCTGGTCTAGAGTCTTATTTCCTAATGATTTATAGACTTAAAGAAAACTCATGTTCAGAAGCTCTCTTCTCTTCTGGCCTCCTCTCTATCCTCTTCCCCTCTTTCTTCTTCTTTTAGTTAGTAGCATAGAGTCATGCAAGCTGGAAATCTTTCATTTTGCTTGTCAGTGGGGTAGGTCACTGAGTCTTAGTTTTTATTTTTTGAAATTTGAACTTTCAGATTCAAGGGGTACACATGAAGGTTTGTTATATGAGTATATTGCATGATGCTGAGGTTTGGGGTACATATGGTCCCATCACCCAGGTAGTGAGCGTAGTTTCCAGTAGTTAGTTTTTCAACCCTTGCTCCCTTCCCTTCTTCCCCCTCTAACAGTCCTCTGTGTCTATTGCTGTCATCTTGATGTCCATGTGTACCCAGTGTTTAGCTCCCACTTTTAAGTGAGTTCATGTGGTATTTGGTTTTCTGTTCCTGCATTAATTTATTTAGGATAATGGCCTCCAACTGCATCCATGTTGCTGCAAAGGACATGATTTCATTCTTTTTTATGGCTGCATCATATTCCATGGTGCGTATGTACCATATTTTCTTTATCCAGTCCATTGTTGATGGGCACTTAGGTTGATTCCATGTCTTTGCTATTGTGAATAGTTCTGCGATGAACATGTGAGTGCATGTGTCTTTTTGGTAGAATGATTTATTTTCTTTTGGCTATGTACTCAGTAGTTGGATCATTGGGTTGAATGGTAGTCCTGTTTTAAGTTCTTTGAGAAATCTCCAAACTGCTTTCCATAGTGGCTGAACTAATTGACATTCCCACCAACAGTGTATAAGAGTTCCCTTTTCTCACTTGTATATACAACAGTGTATAAGTTTCCCTTTTCTTCCCAGATCTCCCCAGCATCTGTTTTTGGCTTTTTAGTAGCCATTCTGACTGGTGTGAGATGGTATCTCATTGTGGTTTTGATTTGCATTTGTCTGATGATTACCGTTGAGCATTTTTTCTTGTGTGTTGGCCGCTTGTGTGTCTTGACAAGTATCTGTTTGTGTCCTTTGCCCACTTTTTAATGGGGTTGTTTTGTGCTTGTTGAATCAAGTTCCTTATAGATTCTGGATATTAGACCTTTGTC